TGCGCGTTTTACATTTTTTGGCATGAAAATTATTCTTCATATCAATATCGCTACATTTTCCGAGAGCGAACTTTCTCATCATTCGCTGCGTACACTGACACTGCTAAAAGAATTTGTGTCGCACGGGCAATTCAATGGTTAACTCTTGATAAAGCATATTATTCTTATTCATATTAATATTATTACAGCATATATTTTTTCTTTCTGGTCAAGCTAAATTGCTCGTTTTTGCTTGCCACTGCATTGCCAAAAAGAAGTAGCGTCGCATAAAAATTTCTAATGCTTTTTTTTTAAATTTTTGTGAGGAGGAAGGCAACCGAAGAAACAGCGAATACGACGTGCACGCGAGAATCCAAAACCCCAAGATCGATTCATTTAACTACTTTCTAAGAAGACGTCCTGGAAAACGCCAATCACTGAAACCAACAGTGCAGATGCAATTAAGGGGTATCCCAGAATGTTTTTGTAAAAGAAAATACGGTATCCGATGGAACACGTACGTAGCACGGGAGACATCTTTAAATCTGCGTATACGCCATATCTCTGGGTCAGATTTGTTTGCCGGATATGTCATTTACTAAGCTCGCTAACTTTATTTCTGCGATTCAATGTCTACGGGCGCTGTGCAAAGAACGACGCGGAGACTGATTTTTATAGTGAATTGTGGATTTGAGTCTATAGTGTTTTAAATGAAGGATACTCGCGCACAACATATCAATGCACTGTTTGTAAACAACATGTGTATTTTTTTCATATCACAATGTGAATAGTATAACTTCGATATCACAATGTGAATAGTGTACAATGTAATTCTCATACTTCATAGTTTCTGGCAGTGTACTGTGCGTACTTCATAGTTTCTTACAGTGTATTGTTCATGCTTCATAGATTCTTGCACTGATTGTTCATATTTTATAGTTTCTTACAGTGCCCTGTAAGAAACTATGAAGTATGAACAATGCACTGTAAGAAACGTGTGCACAATACACTGCCAGAAACTATAAAGCATGAACAATGCACTGTAAGGAACTATGAAGTATGAACAATGCACTGTAAGAAACTATAAAGTATGAACAATACACTGTAAGAAACTATGAAGTATGAACAATGCACTGTAAGAAACCATGAAGTATGAAAAATGCACTGTAAGAAACTATAAAGTTGAACAACGCACTGTAATAAACTATAAAGTAAGAACAATACACTGTAAGAAACTATGAAGTATGAATATACACTCTAAGAAACTACGAAATATTAACACTACACTGTAAGAAACTATGAAGTATGAATATACACTCTAAGAAACTACGAAATATTAACACTACACTGTCAGAAACAACGAAATATAAGGAATTTTGTTTATACTACATAGTTTCTTACAGTGTATTGTTCAAAATTTATAGTTTCTTAGAGTGATATTCACACTTCATAGTATCTAACAGTCTATTGTTCATAATTCAGTTTTTTATAGTCTATAGTTCATGCTTCATAGTTTCTTGCAGTACATTGTTCAAACGTCATAGTTTCTAACAGTGTACTGTTCATAATTAATAGTCTTTTTTACAGTCTATTGCTCATACTTTATTGTTTTTACACTTTAACTTAAGAAATTATGAATACACTGAAAAATACATTGTAAGAATTCATAAAGTATTAACAATGAATGCACTGTAAGAAACTAAATATGAACAATGCACTATAAGAAGCTGTATTAAGAATAAATTGTAAAAAAACATGAAGTATGAACAATATTGTTCCTGCTTCATAGTTGTTGTTTTCTGCAATGTACTGTTCATATTTAATAATTTATTACAGTGTATTGTTCATACTTCACATTTATTACAGTGTATTGTTCAGACTTTATGGATTCTTAGTGTATTTTTCATACTTCATAGTTTCTTACAGAATATTGTGCCGGACGCGTTTTATAGAATATTGGAGCTGTGCATTTTGTTGTGAGAGGGCAAATGTTTGAACACAAGTGCGGACATCGCGGGAGTCAATGTTTCCGTTAAGCCTTATTTTGCTCAGATATAAATCTACGGTTTTCAGAAAGAGACAAAATAAAAGAGGACGATGAGGTTGGCGAAAGAATAAAACCTCCATTACTCCTGTTCATTATTTTGAAGCTTGATAATATAAATGTCTGCTTTCTTGGGGGAGATGTATACGGCAACGTAAACGAACGGTATAGTTTGAATGAAAAGTCTACAATTTGTTATAACAAGCGCGGACAAACGTTTTTTCGGATCATGCCAAGAATCGCAATAGCAGCATAATATAGTTTTACAGTCTACCCATGAAGACCGAGCGAAAGGTACGCACACGTGTTTTGGCAGATGGCGCGCTTATTAGAGCGATAAATGCCGGTGATGGTTAGGTTCCTAGCGCATACGGGGCACCAAGGAACCGCTATGTAGGCTGCGTGGAGAGGATACTTAGTTAACTATACGCTGGTCGAGTCTTGCACAGCCCAGGTGTTCTATATGAGCATGATTATTCGTCACAAGACCATTTCAGAATACCGGCCCTTCCCAAAAATGGGCATTTCACCATCATAAATGTTGTGATTTTTTGTGCCGTCTTTCACCAGCTTTTGTGTGTTTGTTCCTCTGCCGATGTGAGCGAGTCATTGAATCAGCGTATGCGTGTTGGACGCTAAGCTAACGGATGTTTCTCTCTCTTTTTTTTTTTTTTTAGTGCTTTTTACTTTATTTTATACTTTTTTCCTCGAGGGGTACATAAACCTTTACGAGCTGTTCATGTTTCACCTCATGAAAAGCAGTCCCTGTACAAAACGTAGTATTAAATCCTTTAAATAGCTACTAAGACCTTACACATAAACTTTTTTCCTATCCATTATTTACAGGTTACATCACTTTCTTTACCCATATTCAATGCTTTTAAAATGCATGTCAGAATGAGCGGAGTATTAGTTTTTCTAAGGAGAAAAAAAATGCAACACACGCCGTAAGCTTATGTAACATGTAACATATATCAGTCCTATTTTAGACTACGCCAGAGTCTCATGGGATCCCCATCAGGTCAATATTATAGATCAGGTAGAGAAAGTTCAAAACAAAGCTGCCAGGTTTATATCGGGTAAACGTGATCATTAGATTGAGTGTCAGCCTAACTAAAAACGATCTTGACCTAACTCCCTTAACTCACATGCGAATCAAACAGTATCACATTACATCGGCTTGGACAAAACGACGTACGTACATGCTGCCTGCCCACTTCACATCCGGAAGGCGTGACCACTCTAAAAAGGTCAGAGAGTATGTGCAGAACGAATATGTTCAAACGCTATTTTTTTTTTCCTTTCACTACGAGAGAATGGAACAAGCTACCCGACGAGATTGTTTCCATGACCTCTACAGCGTTGATTTCCAATCACCTATTGGGTATTTAAGTTTGAATTTGAGCTTTTTGTTGTTTACATTTTTCCACTATATATAGCCTCATATCTGAAACTTGTGCATGCACACGCCAAATTACCCTATATTTGTATCTTTAAAAAAAAAGGCCGTCAGCATCCCCTTCTCGTAATAATTTGTTTTAGGCGCTGCGAGACAACCTGTTTAAGTAAATAAACTGTAGCAAAATTAGCGAAAAACATATTGTAAATCTAAAAGGCTGCTTTTCAATTAAACAATCGACATATGTATTTAGTACTTATTTTAATGTAAATACAAGTTCATACTTTTAATGTGATTTATGTGCAGGAAGCGACTACATGTTGTCAGTTCCGATTTATTAGATGAATGGTTATTCATATCAATTTCTTGATAATATCCCAATAAAAAAAAAAAGAATGTCAGGAAGGACAAAAATGAGCGGATACCATATCCTAATACTTACACCCCTAAAACTTGCAACAAATCACACGCGTGTGTCAAAAATATAGGCCGACAGAGTTTTCCGTTGATGTTTCCAGCAAGCATTTATGTCAAAGCTTGTATTTTGCTTTAAGATTAGAGAAATATGACAGAAAGCGGCAAAGAACTATATTCAGAAACCCAGGTAATGTTGTGCTCCCTGGCTGTCAATGTCTCTGAATGACCTATCGTGTTGCTATATATCAAATAATAAACCTCGAAGCTTATGCTGGAATTATACCTGTTAGCGGCTGGACGAACTACGGGATAAACACATAACCATGCGTTCTGAACAGTTACTCACACGTGTGGGTGTGAAGGTTTACCATGCACGTCAAAACTGTTGATTGCAGATTGTCTACGAAGGAGTGATCTTGCTGAAATGCATCTCAACTGACATAATACTATAGGCATCTCTTTGGTTTCAAGTAAACAGGAAACTGTTGTAACAAGACCCCAGCGTATAGATAAGAACGTAAATGTTTACATGAAGATGATAAGTTATTTTTACCTGCGTGTGCGTGTGTGCGAGGGGGGGGGGGAATTAATTTCCTAGGAATATAATAAAGTATAATAGAAAAATACATAGAAAACAGCTGATATCTGAGAAGCTATGTTTTTTTCTAGCTGACCCAAGAAGGCAAAATTTTATCTGCGTTTGTCAAGGAGGTAAGCAGTAGAGACGTGCCGTGGAAGTCCGTAGTTTTATCCAGGGTTGTCAACCTGGAGAGGGGGGGGGGGGTTACAATTTGTGTGAGGGATCCTGGGGTGTATACCATAGGTTTGAATAGTTCGTGTACGAAATTTTGAAGTTGGGGGGAAAGGGGGGGGGGGGGCGAATGGTTGGACTCATGCCTGAGTGTGGAAAATGGGGGAAGTGCGAAGGGGGCGGAGGGGGGGGGGGGGTGTATGAATCGCTTCATAAAACAAACAATGCGTATACTTATTTATCGTAGCGAAGGCGAAGCCCCATTGCCGATTTATAGCTGTGCAAAAGTAATTTCACGGCTTCAACGAAACGTGTAATTAAGTCGGTTAGTGTAACGTATCAAAGTGAAATGTTGAAAATAACTATGCTGTTGTTTTAATTTCGTGCTATGTAAACAGACCCATGCTCACCTTTCAGAATGTCTCATCCTCCCGAAAAGACCAGACGTTTGGTTCCACGCACAAGCACACGCACGGTTCACAAATCACGCCGACAATTCCGACAGTCCCCTCCAACCTGTACTCCGCGCTGTGGCGAGCAGCTACAGGCAACGCTGTCTGCGTTGTGCGAGTTTCACTGCACAAGTGGATGGCGGGACTCGGGCTGCGCGCTCGACGCCACACGTACCGCGCCGCACTGAATCGCCGAAGCGAGTGGAAACGGAAGACCGGCTGGAACGAAGCGCACGTGTTGCGCAAACGAAGACGCAGTGCGCATGCGCGCGGGTTCGTGACGTCACCTCGCCGCCGGTTTCGCTTTCGATACGCGGCTGAAGTTCCTCCTCGCTTTTCGTGCGACAACAGTGGCCTCCACCAACACCCTCCACCGCCGCTGCCGTTGCGGCTTCTATTCTTGCGGGCGGAGAACGCGAGAGCCTTCGTAGTTTTTGGAGAGGATCCATACGCGAGGAAAGGACACTTCCTCAGCCCTGTATAGGATCTTCGTTAATTTGTACAAGCCCCCCAACCGTAAAACAAAATTTTGAGGGGGGAGGGGGGGGGGGGGGGGCCTCAAAATTTTGTTTTACGTTATAGTTGACAAACGCAGGGCGTTGTTGGTGGTATTTTATTATCGTACTACAGCTAGTGATATTTTGAAATTACCAATAAGAATATCAAGGAACGGAATCACGGAGCAAGCAGGGTGAAAACGATAAGATACAGTATATGATACGCGATGCACTATAGAATGTATAAATTTGTTTGCGACGTTGTCGACCCTCCAGAGTACACCTGGAAAATGAGATTTCGATCGAATTTGAATTGAATTGACTTACCTGCAACTAGGGAAGTTTATAACCCATTGCAGAAGATCTCACAGATCCGACGAAGCATGTGTATAAACATCTGCACCTCCACAAATTAAAAAAAGGAAAAGAAAAGAAATAGTCTTGCAATAGATGTAGAACATAGGTTTTTAGATTAATTGAAGAAGGAACCAGGGGCGTCGGGAGTTTTTGACTAGAAATGTCGGATGCGACTGGAATCGACAGGCGTAAGAGTTAAAGCGGCACTGAAGTCCTCTTGTGGTGACAACTCAATCTAGACGCTCCAAGCATCCTAACAAACCCGAAATCACAATCGTGCGAAGCTTATTTCCTCGTTAAAAGCGTGTTCAAAGATCGCGACACGCCCTTTTTGAGAAGATCTTTCTTCCGAGTGAAGTATTCGAGGAAGGGTGCTTTTCGGCGAGTTGCAAGCGATGGCTTCGCCCGCGGAGAAAAAGAGGAGTCTGACCCGAATGTGTACCTATCAGACTCTCTTCGAAACAAGTTATAATAAAATCATTCGGAATCTGCGCGTATTGTAAAGCTTTGATTGGTCCACACAGTGTACACAATATAGTCCGCGAGAAAAAAGAGTCCGCATGCTTTGCCCTTGTCCTGAGATGAATAGACGGTTTTGTAATACAGGACTTGGTATATGCGGGAACGAACAGCTTTTAAACAATATAAGATCAAAAACTACCTTTTTCAAAAATGACTTCAGTGCCCCTTAAGAGTGGAACTTCCGCAATGGATGTGGAGCTTCCGTGATCCAGATCTTCGATTCGACCATTTTTATTTTACAGTATATAGGTAATGGTAGTTATTTTTTATGTCGGCTTATTCTGGGCTCTGACTGAGATATTAGGAGCCTGTTTCACAAAATAGCACGAAGACAGAACGCATAATATAGGACTTGGTATATGCGGGAACTAGCAGCTTTTAAACAATATAAGATCAAAAACGACCTTTTTTTAAAAATGAATTCAGTGCCCCTTTAAGAGTGAAACTTCCGCAATGGATGTGGAGCTTCCGTGATCCAGACCTTCGATTCGACCACTTTTATTTTACAGTATATAGGTAATGGTAGTTATTTTTGATGTCTGCTTATTCTGGGCTCTGACTGAGATATTAGGAGCCTGTTTCCCGGAATAGCACGAAGACAGAACGCACACACACGTCGCGTTTCTCTAATATAGAACATACTAATTTGTGTTATTGATGAGGTCATCCGTTGCTTCCCGAAGTGTTCCTGTAATTGTTCTCATATCGGACGACGTTGAGGACCTCATATCCTGCCCAATGATCAAAAGCCGATCATGCCGCATATCGTTTTTAAGCACTCAGTGACCCCAGATGACGTGTTCGTCAGATCAAGAGTCTACAGGAACCAATGATAGAGAAGTCCGAGGAATCTTTTTCTTAAGAAGCGCAGGACATGGCTTAGTAGGTTCCCACTTATCGCTTCGCCATTGGTCCTTCAATTTTACTATCGGCTGACGCTGCAATTTAATTGGCCGAGGAACGATAATGACATGCCCGAGTATCTCCACGCCTCGCGTTTCTTCAGCCAGTCAGTGACTGTACATACATGGGACTATTGACAGCCACACTCTAAAAAAAGCCCGTGCGTCTGCTTTCCCGCACAACACTCGGAGAGCCAATCACCGCAACTTACGGAGGCAGCTCAGCGAATGACGATGCCGAAACACATGTTTAGACCAAAAAACGCAGTCTGAGTTGTGACATTAAGCAATTCAAAACGTCACGCTTGCATTGTTTAATGTCACAACTCAGACTGCGTTTTTTGGTCTAAACAGATGTTTCGGCATAGTCATTCGCTGAGCTGCCTTTGTAAGTTGCGGTGATTGGCTCTCCGAGTGTTGTGCGGGAAAGTAGACGCACAGACATTTTTTTAGAGTGTATTGACAGCCATGCTGCGCGTCGCAAAAACTGCCGTGTAGACGTTGTCGCGCTCCGTGCACTACGGAGTACGCCCATATGTCTGACCCTGAAACGGTATTCGCTTTGGTGCGGGTGTGTATCGTGCGTGCGGATGTTTGAGATACGAAGAGGCCCGCATGACACTCGATCCTATCGGCGATGACAAGCTGACGGGCAAAGGTCGCGCCTTTTTCTCTCTTCTTTTTTCTTTCTTTTTGTCTTTCTTGTGTTTGGTATCGCGACCGCGCGACGACGCAATATTGTCAACAGTCGGAGGCGCGGCGGGATGTTTGAGGTTACCTATACGATGTTTGCTCTCTTCGTCTTTGTTTAACGAGTCGCTTTTTTTTTTTTTTTCGTCGAAGACACAATTGCAGGTTGTTTGAAACGTTATTTTGTTGCAGAGATGTATCCCTCGCCCCGTGCACAACGCCGTTTGTGCGCCCTTCTAGGATGAGAAAATAGGAAACAAAAATCAAGATTCGGTAAAAAAGGAAAGGCTATAGATTAGACAGAATTGTGCACTCGGGTGTCTACAGAGGTGCGTAAATATGATTAAAGCCCGCTCGTCGATCGAATTACGTTTAATATTTCATTATACAATCGCATATTTTCCTGGTCCATAGTTTGACTAAACATTGAGTGATAAAAAGTATTCTCTGGTTCATACTCAGTGTACAACGCCGTCACCCCTGCTGGCGCGAGCATGGGGTTTTAATAATAATAATTATAATAACTTTATTCATCACCACAGATACATGTGGTGAATGGGAGGCCAGAGAAAAAGCTGCATGAACGCAGCTTGACGAAGATCATACGCGTGCACATGATCTTTATTTCGCAGATCATCTGCACGCGTACTCGCGCGAACGAAACCATAAATGATGCCATGCGCTCGTGCCAGTAGCTTCGATAGCGTCGTAGACCAAGTATGAAACGGAGTATAGACGCTCTGCAGCAGCTGTGCATGGGCGCCGCCATAACCGACCTTCAGTTTTTGTTTATTTTCCTCTTATTACGTTTACTTCACTTTATCATGGCCACAAGAGGGCAGGTTATTGCTGTTTAGGTTCTACTGTGTCCTTCTCCCCAGCAGTGGCCTCAGTGGAGGCTTGTCAACGCTCACTTTAGTGGCTCGGCATATGGGAAAGACAAGAGAAGGTCAGCAATGGCGGCTATAATCTGGCACGTGTGCAAAGCGTCTATAGAATGCCAATACAGTGAATGTCAAACCCAAATCCTATACTCCGTTCAACTTCAGTACGACCTCAGGCAACGCTACAATCCTTTACGGCGAGCAGTGTTCTAAAATGCGTCTTTGGCTCATCGAAATTCATTTATTCATTATCGAAATTCGCAAAGAGGGACACGCCAATCAAAGCCTCAAAGGGCAACATAGATAGCCCGCAGGGAACGCGCGATTTCGAAGCTGCCAAAGACCAAAGCAGCCAAACTTTCTAGGCTAATCTTCATTCATAATAAGTATTATACAATAACCCACTCCTCAAGCTTGAACTTTTAGAGCCGCCACACCGTATTTTTACTCCATTTGATCATCAACATAATAAATATACTATTACAAACATCACATACAGAACTTTTCCAGACATCACCCTTGCAGTTGGCAATTTCCGACCGGAACAAACTGCCAGCCAACATGTGTCTTTAGTAAATGTCGACGAGTTTAAAAGCGCGTGTGCTCAATACTGCGTAAATTGATATACATGCTTTCCACGTATATTATATTGTATCTTTGCATGATGTTTCTTCATATTTTCACTGTTCTGTTTTCTTTACATACTGTCGAATTTCCCCCCTCATGTATGCCCCCTTGGTGCGCTTGTGAGGTACAAATAAATGAAATGAACGCCAAGTTTGCTGATATACTTGGTTTCACTTTAAGTCTAGACACAGCAGACGCTCCGAGCAGATGGGACCGATCAGACAGCCTCAAAGCGCATGATCATGGTTTTCGGGATGTACCTGTTCGTGTTCCATTGCTGAACCATTCATAAACATAAAAGGCCTACTCAATTGCGCTTTTGCCGCTGCTTGATCTGTCCCGTTGGCTGCGTCTGGACTTGAGCTGATCAAAATATAAGTTCGAATGTTCAAAACAAAGAAATATCGTTTCCCTTGGCTATTCTTTGATGTTTCTCGGTGGTTGGCGTGCACTCTTCAATCCCTATTACTATACTAAATGTGTATAATAGATAAACGAAATACAAAAACAAACAACGGAAGTGTAAAAAGGAAGTGAAACAACTCTATCGGTAGAGTGACAAGTTTATCGGAAGCGAAACAACTGTAACGGAAGTGTAACATGTGTGTCGGAAGTGAAATAAGACTAACGGAAGTCTCTGCACTCAATTTAGCGGTTACATATAATGAAAGAATAATGACCGTGTGACCATGTAACTGACGGTGTTCAAGCGACTTCACAGCGTAACATTGGTCACGAAACATCCCGGTGCCTTACCGTGGCGTGGCATTATCGGGTGTCTCGTCGTCAAGTTGCAGCGTCGCGCTACATCAACTCACGTGACACCGACCATGCGCAACAATTCCTAGATGTGACGCTAACCAAGTGCTTCTCAAAACACGCTGCACAATGTCACAAATCTGTCTCCAAACTCCATC